GCTGACATTAAATTTGTTGGGCTTCTTAAGAATTTAAGCGAGTTATTAGTTACCTTCTTGGTGCAGTTGCTGAGAAACATAATCCTTTCTTTCTTCTTCACTTTTTTCCCAAAGGCCAGTGATGATTTGTCTCAAAATGTCTTTATATATTCCAGTTCTGCTTCTGTTTCATTGTATAATGGGCACAATGATTAATCAATTCTGCCATACTTCTCAATCCATTTATCATGAAATCCTTGACCACTTCCTTTATCTTCAGTCAGGATTTTTAAATTTGAATTTCCTGCATAACAGTGCTAGAACATCAAAGGAATGGCATTTTTTATAAACTATCAATTTTTTGAAAAATGAACAATACTTAATGTAAGCAATAATTACATAATAACTTCAAATGAATATTTGATTATTATTTATTGTAATAACCAGCTGCTGAGACAGGTCAAATTGAAACCAATGGATAATTCATATATAATAAGTTTAACTTACAGCTTCTATCATTTTCAAAGAGTTCTCACAATTTCAGAATCCATTTCTCCAGAGGTTTTGAGATTCATGACATTTTCAGAGGAATTACAAATTATTCAACAAATGCTAAAATTCTTATTTGCAAACAGTGTCACGTTTACATTCAAAAAGTGGTGCAGTTTATTATTTTAATTTCATTAGGTTAAGATTGTAGATTATATGGCCAAAGACTGTTGTTTTTGCTTTAACATATGGGGGCTGAATGTTAAAATAACACTTTTCCTCTACAGGTGCATTGCCAAATAACTGAAGTTCACTTGTCAGGTATTCCATTTGCTTGTTTATGAGCAAAGTGCCTCATATATTCACAACTATTGATTTCAACTGTTGTCTTAACAACAAACAGCAAATACAAAAGCTGATTTCAGACAAATGCTGATATGTCTATGGAGATTCTCAATCATCCAGGTCATTGTTATCCCAAAGATTCTTTTCCAAAAGGCAACTGAAAATGTTTTGCTTCTCCTCCAATTCTAAACTGAAGAAGCTTTTTGGATGAGAAATGAAATGTTTTCAAGAAAAAAAAAAACCAAGAAAGTCTAGTTGCCTTTTGGAAGAGCACTTTTGGGACACAAATGCTGATTTTGGAGACTGAGTTCACATGTATCCTCTGGACTTGCACCTTGAAAATAAACTTTGATACCCAAGCATCCACCCTGTACAGTGGTTGGAAGACAACTGAACTGTGTGGCTGCTTCAATTCTACCACATTTTGCAAGTTGTCTCTCTTTCATGTCACCACCAATCACAATTCTGAAAATGACAGATTATGTGCTGACACAGTTGGTGAGAATCCATTTTAAGCTCTGAATAGTGCAGTCGCATATTTCTTGTACTTGTGCTTGTTCAGTTTCTTTGTTAACTCAGTCCAGGATGGTGGTTGCTGTCTGGTGTTGGTGAATGCTGGTGTTTCACCCAAAATGTTAACTTTGACGTGCATGTCAAAGGTTCACCACGAAGCTCACACTGGCTGGGGAGAGCAGAGGTAGAACAGTTTTTCATATGTTTTCCAATGCTGAGATTTGGAAAATTCCAAACACTGTTTCTTGAGTGTTGGAGAATGCGGCAGAATCTCAAGTTATTCTAAACTGCCTGTGGGAAATCCTCTGGCGGTGATGGTTGGTGGTGGTTGGTAGACAGGAGCAGAATTTTCAGCTGGCAGAGAGACATTACAAATCTGTAGCTTTCAACATTTTCTTCATCCACCTTCCCAAGAAGTTCAGGTACCTCCTGTAAATAGATATGGATCAAGTATTTTATTATACAAGGTTTCTGGAGTCTTACTTATTGCTTTTTCTACTATCTTTCACTGTTATCAGTGGATGATGTTATATTATACTTTGTGACAACATATGTCTCACCAAAAATAATCAAGTAATAGATTTAGAAAATAAATCAATAAAAAGTAGTAAAGTAGCAAGGCAGCCATGCATACTACAATTTCATTTCAGGAGATGATTAGTTTGGGGATGGATGTGAAGAAAGGGAATTTGATGGGAAATGATCTGACAAATTTAAATCCAACTTATACAGTAGTATTCCACAGTGACATTTATTATTGTAGGATTTTAGGGGGGAAATGCATCTAAGGGATGACTTGGCAATGGAATTCTTTTTTTTTTTTTGTATTTTTACTAAAAACACTTAGTTCAGTTAACTGCCTGCTTACCTAATGCCGACACAAAATAAGAAAGTTCCAAGAATGTTAAGCCATTGACTGTAGCATTTGCATATGGTATTCATTGCTGCCTTCTTAAATTGTCTTCCTTCTACTACCATCACTGACTTCCTTTCTTTATCAAGATGCTATTATTAGAAGGATTCAATGTAGGGTCTCCACATGGGTGTGATTGGGCAGGAAAAAAACACTCCACAATTTTTTTTACATATGCTATACTTACTCGTGGTCTCCATTTTACTTTTTTTTTTTTAACTACAGCCAAGTATACCCCTGATCCACTGAGTGTCAATATCACCCAACATGCAATCACTGTACAAGTATTGCAACTTTCGGGTCATCCAGTTTCAGGATTCACATCATATTTACCCTCTAAGAACTTTCATTAAATGATAGTACAGTACAATTAGTATAGCACAATTTAAATATTGGATCTTTAGAAAAGTCAAGTGCTGTTCTTTTTTCATCAGTGCCTCTTTCCAACATGGTAGCTGTTAAATATTTCTCCTCTTTTTTCCCATGTGAGATATCTGATCTACAATCATAGATCTGCACTGAGTTTCCATTTTGCTGTCTGATGTTCTTCTAACTGTTGACAGGGCTTCTTTCCTGTAATTGTCTCATTTTTAAAAAATTCCATCTCTCCCAGGATTTAAGGAACCTTCTTGTCCGCAGGCTGTGTTTGAGAGCAGAGCGAGTATTTTAATCTCTCACTAAAAACTTGAAATCTGTCCACAGACGGAAAGTGTAATGTAATGACTTTATAATGACTTTGTTTAGCCCTGTTTGAGGTTATTTTTATCCACTTCTATTGTTCACTAAAATACTTTTAAAATGGACATTTATGCACAGCTGGAAAATTGCCTTTGTGTTCATGCAGGCCACTGTTTCTCAACCTTAGCAGTTTTAAGCAACTCTGAAAAATTCTCTAGTCAATTGATTTGGACTCAACCATATTCTTTCTCTGCCCCTGTCTTGTCTCATTAAAAAAAGGTCCTCACATTTCTCCCCAGAGCCTTAAAATAATTTATTCACTTTTAAACTCAGTTTCAATTTCTTCATTCACCTTCCTTTTTCACTAAACAATATTCAAAATCCCATGTTGGGTTTTGCCCCAGTAGCTGATTCGTTCCTTTTGTTTCACTCATTCTATCTCCCTACCTTCTCTTTTTTTAAACAATCCCATATGCCAAAACAGTGAAATTTAAGCAAATTTGTGGCCATCCTGACCAGGAAATACATTCAATCTAAAAATGAAGAGGACTTTCCTACATTGCAAACAGATTCAATTCATGTAAATACACACAAACACACACACACACACACCAGGGGAAACGTTGCAAGCTCAGAACAAAAATGCCAAATCTGGAGAAAGTTCTGGAAACTTTGCCTTTGGATCAAGTGCAAGGGCTGCATAGAATTTCGCCACCATGAGAAAAAAATTGCCTTCACTATTATGAATTTTGGCAGACTAGGTAACTTAGAAGTGATCAATATTTAAAGTGAGGTAGCCTTTCAGGAGCCTCTGGAGAAGAGAAAGATCTGAAACAGGACTGTGATTTATCATTACAACAGTTCAGTGATAGCTTGACAGCAAACTAAAATTATTTCTGTCTTTAATATAAATCAGTATAGCAAACCATGCTTGCTTCAAAATAGTAGATTAAAAAAGAGAATAGAATACTGGACCTGGACTGTAAACATCCAGACACCATCTACAAAAGGGTAGCTACCTTAATGTCCTCCTAACAAGAGCTGTTGTTGTATTATTAACCATCGGTCTATTAATCCATCCTGTAGCTTGCTATAAAGAAAGCAGCTCCTATGAGTAGCTTGAAAACATCAGATACAGATACAAATGCAGCTTTAGTTAATGTTCTTTTTCATCTTTGTAGCTGAGATCAATAATAGCTTTGCAAATCCAACAGTAGGAAAAGCCTGAACCCTAATTAAGAACTTAGCTATGTTTCCCATTGTCTTCTCTGTTAACATAGAGTTAACAGAATTTAGTTTTAATACCAATGTCTGCAACAAACTGCAGTCATCCTTGTACACAACCATACCCTACTGAAGTCTTTCCTGCTGAAATTCAATTTTTTCATTTCCTGTTAATGAAATTAAGGAATGCATTCATCTTGTTGCATCTGCTGCATCACAAAATGTTCCTTCCCTTTATTAAGCATTTAACTTGATGTGTCAAGAAACACCGGGGGCTTTCAAAAAATGGGCCACAGAATGTCTCTTATTTTCATGTTTAATGATGCTGCATGAGATTGAGTTCATAGCATCAAAGGAAAAGGCATCAGAGGTCCAATGCAGCCAAAGGAGAGAGAAAAAATTGAGATTTTAAAAGTTTTTGCTGGATCCTACATTCTTCCTTTCATTGGAAGAGCTGACACTGTTGACAGTGTCATGGCAAGCCATGCCTATCAAAGGAAGCAGAGATGCCTAGCTGGTTTGATTTCCTAGCAAAGCTCTGTTATTACTATTACTCAAGGAAACTGCTGGCTATCTGAACAGCAGCATCTGCTTGGGAGTTAAGGGTGAGGTCAAAATCAATAAAATGATAGTGAAACCCTTGCTCTTTTGCACGAATGTCCCAAAGGTGCTTTTTCAAAAGGCAACTGGATTTTGGTTTTTCTTGAAGATGTCTCGCTTCTTATCCAAACGTGTCTTCAGTTCTGACTAAATGATGGAAGATGGAAGGATTTATATTCCTTGCAGTCATCTGGAACTCTTTCTGAGAGTCGTTGAGGCCACTGGGAGGTTTATTTGTGCCCTCAGGGTTACCTGAAATCAGTTCCAAAAAGGTTCCACACCCATTTGCACTATGGGTGACCCTGAGGGCACAGGTAAACCTCCTGTGACCTCAATGACTCTCAGAAAGAATGCTAATGCCCAGATGACTTCAAGGAAAATAATTCCTTCCATCCTCTGCTATTCAGTCAGAACTGAAGAAGCTTCTTGGATGAGAAGCAAAAGGTCTTCAAGGAAAAACAAAGTCCAGTTGCTGTTTGAAAAAGCACCTTGGGGACAATCCTGAGGATCTCCATAGATATTTTGTGAGAGGGCACATTCAAAATGAATCATGAAGATCTGCTCATCATTTTGATACCCACACCCAAGGGCACTGCTCTGTAAGTCTAGCATGCCATTGTAAGCCGCCCAGATAGCAACCACTGTAAATAAATTGGTGCTGGCTTTACAGCCATTTCTCTCCATTTCTATTTCTTCACAGCCATACATTACAAATGGAAAAAAAATGTGATCTTGACAATACATATTTTGATTTCCAGTAGGATGCATCAGCATTTTAATATTGTATCTGTATCTGAAATTACCTTTCTTCTAATAGAAGAGAATATTGAACTGTAAAGTTTTTGATGTTCTCCAAGGCTGATTTGTTTACTTTCAGATATTTCATCACCGTCAGTTAACATGCTAGTGAGTGTGAAGTTTGCTTTCAGTTTATATATACTAGTTTGCCTTGCCAATGTTGGTGAGAGCATTTTTTTCCCCTTGGTAGCTTCTTTAGAGCCATGGTGGTGCAGTGGTTAGAGTGCAGTACTGTAGGCTACTTCTGCTGACTGCTGGTTGCCAGTAGTTTGGTAGTTCAAATCTCACCAGGCTCAAGGTTGGCTCAGCCTTCTATCCTTCCGAGATGGGTAAAATGAGGACCCAGATTGTTGGAAGCAATATGCTGACTCTGTAAACTGCCTAGAGAGGGCTATAAAGCACTGTAAGGAAGTATATAAATCTAAGTATCCTGAATCCATTTTGGGAGCCGCTTCAGGGCTGCCACAGCAAGGCCGGTTGGAGCTGTGGAAACATGAGGGGGGGAGATAGAGATAGCTGGGGATGTGTAGCCAAAATAACATTCTTTCCCATGGGAGCTGAGGACACTCTACCAGGTGTTGGAGAGGCATGAGCAAAAGCCCATTCCCCAAAAGTAAGTTCTAAATTCCTTCACATTCTGTCCCATTAGACTCCCACTAATTTTCCTGAATGGCATTGTCCAATGGTTCTGCCATGGTTCTGTAGAATGCCTGAAATGGATCTTGCTTGAGTCTGAGACAGAATTGCAAACTACATCTCATAGTGATCAAAACAATCCTGTGCAAGGATATCTGTCTTACATGCTACATTAGCTTCACGTTTTATAAGAATAATTATTCAGTCTGCTCCACGATTACTTTCCAAGTAAATTTGTCTATGTTAGACAGTGATACAGTCATCTGATTGATTTCAGTTGTTCAAGCGATTCAAGTGCTCTACAGAGGAAGAAGGATCAGAGGTGGGGAATAGGCAGATTTCCATAACTCATAAACTCTAAAGCAGATGCCCTGAAATATTTAGGACATGTCTGGCAAATGAGCAAACTCTTCTGAGACTACTATTACTTTGTGAAAATAACTGTTTCTGCACTGATGGATTTATTTATTTAAAGCATTTATTTGGCTGTCCAAAGGCAGTATGACTGGCCAGTATACTATAAAAGTTAAGAAGAAAATCAAAACCAACAAATACAAAAAGCAAAGTGCATCAGAGGAACAGAAGATAATAGAGTAGAACAGAGTAAAACAGAATAGAACAGGTCAGACACTGATGAACTACAAATGAAGAGGACAAGGCAAAAGAGAGGAAAAAAATAATCCAGGGTAATTGTTTTACAAGTTCATGTTAATCTAAAACAACATCAAAAAGAGCAGAGCCTGGGGACATTTTAAAGACTACTAGATTTATTACAATATAAGCTCCAATGAACGGGAGCATAGTTCAGTGAATAAAAGACCAGGAATGGAATGAGTATGTTGTAAGCAATAACTTGTTAAATAGCCATGTAATTTATTAAACCATTTTTAAACCTAAGTGTCTCTGAACAGTATATATCTTGCAATACATCCTTCCCAGTGAATGAATGAATGGAAAACAATATTTGTACAGATATTCTATCTGGCTGTAGCCACCCAGCAGCCCTATTTAGGGTGATCTACTCTACTGAGTGGGCTAAGCCACAGGGTCATTTTCAGAGCCACACTGAGAAATATTCATGCTATCTGCCAGACAATGTTGCTCAGATTTGCTCAGAGTTGAACTCTGATTGGGCAAGTCCAAGTAAGTTGCCTGAGGCACAATCTTGTGGTATTTTTCTGGATTGAGTTTGATTCTATTTTGCCAGTTAGTTTGGCCATCTGTTTATTAGACTCTGGTCCTTCTTGGTGATTAAGGCAGTCCAGATGATGACCACAGGTAGATTCATGCCGAAGTTTCAGCCTCTTTGAGCAAGGGGAATGGTCCCATCAGCCTTGAAAGAGACAGTGATACTCTCTGTCCTCAAAAGGTCATCACTAGACCCTTCCCTGCTGGATATTTTATTGGCCAGTTTCCAATCTTCTTTTGGGCAGCAGGCTGTGGAAAAGATGGTTGAAGAACATCTACAGAGAATCTCGGAGGAAACAGATTATCTGTACCTGTTTCAGTTCAGTTTCAGTCAGGGTACATTATGGAAACAGCATGGGTCCCACTTGTTTATGACTCTTGGTGACTCTTGGTGGATCAACTGCTGCTTGATCTCTCAGTGGCTTTCGATACTGTCAACCACAAGATCCTTTTGGACCAGTATACACGGGAGATTTTCAGTCTGAAGCGTTTGATCACCTTGCAAGCTTTGGAAAGTAAGCACAACCCGCCCCACCCTCCACCACCCCAGGGGACACATATTTGAAATTCTTCCAATTCCTGCAAAAGAAATAAACCCAGTCATGCAATATTAATAGCATCTTCTTCACAGAGAAGAAGGAATGTCATGAAAGTAGAAGACCAGGGCCAAAAAGAGAGAGTGCCTTTGGAATATGAATTGGCACTGATTAACCAGGAAATGGAAGGTGGGATTATGATGAAAAATTGTCACCTGCCATATATCCTCCATTTGTTTATTTATTTAGAGTACAACATATCATACATGAACTTGCAATGTATCTTAACATTTCACCAAGATTAATAAAACATAATAAAATATGAATGTTAAAAAGATCTACAAGGTTCAATATCAATGTCTAGGCAATCAGTTAAAAAAAAGTCCATGCACAGCCCCCGGGTCTTATCTTTTGCAGAAACTTTGAATCATTGTTGGGAGAAGAAATCAAACATTCCCTCCTTTATTCCCTAATTTGAGTATCAGACTACAAAACTTCCCATATGGCTGCATCTCTTATTTCCTTTTATTGCCTCTGACGTTACAATTATCCTTTCACTCTCCCTGACTTTGCATGTGCCCAGCTTCACCTACCTCTTCAGTCTGAGTTTTACGTTGAGATCCACTTACTTGTGGTGTATAAGCTCTCCTCAACCTCATTACAAACAAGTGGGTGTAGAGCTGCACTCTTATCACCTGTCCTTTCCTCTTCTTCTTCTCTGCAAAGGCATTTTTATCTCCCTATGTAATCTGCACTTTTACTTTTGTGATAGTATAACGGTGGTCATAACGCCAACTCATTCACACGGGGCTGTTGAGTCACCGCCATCAAGAAGGCATGAGATAAGTTTTTATAGGCATTCCATTTCTTTCATTGTCTCCTTGCTGAGAACCTCTCCGGAGACTAGAAGTGAGCAAATGATCCTACTAAGTGCAGCGCATGCACCAACCCACCCTCAGGTCTTCCTCCAGCACTTCCCCCCGCCCAGTATCCCTCGGCTAAGATGGAGTTGTGCTCCTGGCAGGGCATCTTTTCTCTTTTTACCACTACAGGGGCAACCAATCCCCTCTCTATGCATTCATTGCTTGCCCATCCTCCATGGTCACAAGGTTCCTTTGTATCAAATTATTTTTAAAAAACAAACAGTGCTAAGAGACTCTCCCCCCCTCCCCCAATTTAATGGGAGGGGGGAGAATCAGCATAACAGGAAGGACTTCACAAAGTGTCACACGAACTATCAGAACTGAGTCGCCTCTTCTGGAGTGCACCCTCCCTCTTTTCTGGGAACCTGGATAACAACGTTGCAGGAAGCATTTCTACTCTAGAGCAGTGGTTCCCAAACTTTTTCAGTCCACCGCCCTCTTGGTGCTACAAACTCATCCTGAATGCCTCCCATCCAGGGGCAGGATTCAAATTTCTGTGGGTGTGGCATAATTTGAGGGTGTGGTTTGCTGGTCACGTGACTGGGTGGGCGTGGTTTGGTGACTGGCAAACCAAATACAAGTGGTCCTCACTTAATGGCTGGTTGCTTAGCAAGTGTTCTAATTTATGACTGGCCTTCCCAGAACTACTTGACCTGTTTTTGGAGTTTTGACAGCCATGCACACACATATACACATACTCCCTTCCAACCCTGCTAGAGCAGGTCATTGGACTAGATTGCTCTCCTTTCCCAACACTGCATTCACGGCGAAGCCCCACTGCCCCGAACATGACAGCACAAGTGGGATGTTTGAAAAGGAGAGCAATGACACTCTGGCTTTTTGCTCTCCTTTCCCAACACTTGTTCGGGGCGAGGCTCCGCCAGCCTGAATATGGCGGCAGCGGGGGGATGTTTGAAAAGGAGAGCAAAGCCACTCTGGATTTGCTCTCCTTTCCCAACGCTGCGTTTGGGGCAAGGCCCCCAGGATCACCCCCAGGATCACCAGAGCGTGCAAGTCAATGGGGCGACTTGCCTTGAACGGGGCCTCGCCTTGAACGCGGCGGCAGCGGGATTTTCTCATTCCTGAATTGTGCTCTGCCGCTCACCTTCAGCAACCCCCTGCCGCCTCCTAGCGCCCCCCTGCCAGCCCCCTTGCCTCTCAGTGCCCCCCCAAGGCATCCCACCACTCCCAGGGGGTGGTACCACCCACTTTGGGAACCATTGCTCTAGAGTAATATGAAAAAAAACACCTATGCTTTAAATAGTCTCTGTGGGTTTTTTTGTACTAATATAAAGTTTTATAACATCACATATAAAGAGTTCACATTATTGTCTTCTATATTGTTAAAAGCAACACGTGGATCTATGGTGCTTATTCTCTGGAGATGGGCAATTTAAGGGTTCCATTATATAAGACTTCAGGGATAAACCTGCCAGCATGTGAGGGGAGTAGCATAGTGGTGACCATGCCATTCCAGAAAGCATGTAAATCAGCCTATAGGGTGATATTATTTTTCTTTTAAAAAAGGAAACATCTGTTTTTCTTGCTTTGTATCAAAAGCAGCACTAACTAACGATCAGTTGTCCCCCTTTCATTGTAGGCAATGCCTCCACTCCCATTGGCTCATGGTTTGTTTATTTTATTTATTTATTTGATTTGTCAATCGCTTACAAGATAATAGGTATAAGTATGAAATGAATACATATAAGAAAAATAAAAAGAAACAATAGGACAGGGATGGTAAGCACATTGGTGCACTTATGCACGTCCCCTAAAGATCTCTTAGGAAAGGGGTGAGGCCAATAGTAGAAAGTCTAAGGTTAAAGGTTTTGGAGTTTGGGGAAGAAACCACAGAGTCAGGTAGAGTGTCCCAGACATTGACCGCTCTGTTGCTGAAGTCGTATTTCCTGCAATCAAGTTTGGTGGTGCTGGCGCAGGCCACACCCCTCTCCTCCTCCATGGCCATTTGGCCCTGGCCTGCTGGAAACTTCTGGTTACGTTTTCATCAGGCCACACAGGTGAACCGATGGATTGGCTGGCCTTTTGTGTTTTAAGCAGTCAAAACAGCGGAGTTTTCTTTTCTACTCTTTCATATACCCTTTTTCCTTTTTAGATCTGGAGACGTCCCAAAGCAGAGAAATGTAGGGGAAGCCATTGGAGATGAACATAAGGGGAATCAATCATGTGCATAGAATAATAAATAAATAAAAACAAAATAAATAAAATAAAATATAACAAAATAACATATAACAAAATAACAAAATAAAATATAACAAAATAAAATAAAAATAATACAATAACAATTAATATCTAAAAATAACAAATAAATAAACAAACTAAAAAGAAAACAAAAACCAACAAAAAATTCAAGGGGCAGACTTTATGGGCCATTGGGTCTTTTTCTGCTGTCAGTTTTTTTAAAAAATGTTTTCTATGTGTGTCTGGTGTGAGAAAAAGTGATTGCAAAAGTATGTACAATGCAGTAAGCAGCACAGTGGTGGGATTCAAATTTTTTACTACTGGATCTGTGGGCGTGGCTTGGTGCGCGTGGCAGGGAACGGATTCTGTAAAATCTCCAGTCAGAGGTAGTATTTTCTGGTTCTCCAAACTACTCAAAGTTTCTGCTACCAGTTCTCTAGAACTGGTCAGAACCTGCTGAATACCCACCTTTGAAGTAGCCCCCAAACTTATTTCTGACAAAAAAAAAATGAAGAGAGAGGGGGGGAAAAACCACACACTCCTTCTCTCCCGGGATGGATGTACATCCCTGTTCCCCTGAATTAGAATTCACAATTCTGAGTGGTTGAAATTGTCCAAAGAGGGCTTGCTGAAAGAAGATGTCTCTTTTTGGACTGAGTTAAAGGGCTGGGGGTGAAGCAGAGTTTGCCAGGTTTCTCTTGAAATTGTATGATTTTTTTCCCCCTCTGCTCATCAGTGGGCAAATATACTGTAGATAGCCCTTGGCTTACAACCATTCATCCAGTGGCCGTTTGAAGTTATAATACTGTAGTATTGAAAAATGTTACTTATGATCAGTTCACAAACTTAGGACCTTTGCAAACCTTTGCAGCATTCCCCACAGTCATGTGATCAAAATTTAGGTGGTTAGCAACCGGCATGTATTTACAATGGTTGCAGCAAACTGGGATCACGTGATTTCCATTTGTGATCTTCCCCTCTGGCTTCCGATATGCCACATTAATAGGGAAAGCCAGATTTGCTCAATGACTGTGAGATTCACTTAACAACCATGGCAGCAAAAACTCACAACTCACTTAAGAACTGCCTTGCTCATTAACAGAAATTTTGCTGCCAATTGTGGTCATAAATGGAGGAGTATCTGTATTGTGCTCATTGAGAGCAATGATAACAAATAATCAGAGTCGGAAGGAATCTTGTAGGTTATCTAGTCCAACCCCCAACCCAAGCAGGAGACCCCACATCATTTCTGACAAATGGCAGTCCAATCTCCTCTTGAAAGTCTCAAGTGATGATGCTCCCAAAACTTCTGAGGGCGAGCTGTTCCATTGGTTGATTGTTCTCACTGTCAGAAAGTTTCTCCTTATTTCCAGGTTAAATGTTTCCTTCAGTTTCCATCCATTATTCCTTGCCTGGCCTACAGGAGCTTTAGAAAATAGCTTGGATCCTTCCACTCTGTGGCAGTCCCTCAAATATTGGAAGACTGCTATCATGTCTCCCCTGGTCCTTCTCTTCACTAGTCTAGCTATGTCCAGTTCCTGTAACCGTTCTTCATATGTTTTAGTCTCCAGTCCCTTAATCATCCTGGTTGTTCTTCTCTGTACTTTTTCTAGTCTCAACATCTTTTTATAGTGTGGTGACCAAAACTGGATGCAGTACTCTAGGTGTGGTCTTACTAAGGCTTTATAGAGTGGTATTAGTACCTCACTTGATCTTGATTGTATCCCTCTGTTAATGCAAATTAGGATTGCATTAGCTTTTTGGGCCGCTGCTGCACACTGCTGGCTTTTATTTAGCTGGTTGATGGAGCAGAGGAATCAGACTACATTGTCTCTAAAGTCCCTTCCAGAAGGATTGATCCATGAATAATTATAGTTTGTACTCACAAATGGAAACTTTGTGTCCTGCCTCTTTAGAGAAAGATAAGCTATTGGCACTTATTTTTCCTGGTCAGGTGGAAAGAGTAAATGAAGCAGGGAAACTCA